TTTTTTTTTTTTATTTGAAACACAATATGTACAATAATATAAATACATGTTTCATTTGACTACGACTAGTTCAAGTGCAAAGAACTATCAAGCAGTTTTGTTATATTTTGGAATACGTTTTAAAATTGTCAAGTTGTCAAAGACTTAGTGCTAATAGAGTAGTAATCTAAGTTATTATTAGACTTATTAAACTACTAGTTCGGGAGTAGATCTGAAGGATTTGTTCGTTTAAATCTCCTCAGCAGGCCAGATGTGTTAGTCAGATGGTTGACTGTCTCGTTTGGATGCTGTTGTAATCGTTTTTGTTGCTTCACCGCGAACTTTTGAATTACTGCAGCCACAGATTCGATCTTCAAGTCCCGATGGAGGTAAGTATTCCTATTGAACCACGGTGGGTTGACTGAATTTCTTAAAACTTTGTTTTGAAAGTTTTGAATGATTTCAATAAAGGATTTTGGTGCACATCCCCATAACTGGATTACATACGTCCACACCGGAGCTAAGACTTGCTTGTATATCATTAATTTGTTGTTTATAGAGACGGGTGATTTTTTCCCAAGAAGTCAACATAAATTTTTGTATTTGGATTTTAGTTGAACTCGTTTTTTCTTTATATGTTGATTTTATAGTTGAATTTTTTGTTTGTGTAATTTACATGGACGGATTTTGCTTGGTTAAGTTCAATTTTCCCTTTTTTAGTCCAACTCATAATTTGATCAATGGAATGTTGCGTTGATTCGTTTATGGTGTTTCCAGTGGTAACGATCGCTGTATCATCTGCAAACGTGGCAATAACACTTTCTGGTGGGACTTGCAAGTCGGCTATGTAAATTAGGTACATAATTGGGCCAAGAATACTTCCCTGCGGTACTCCGGCTTCCATTGGTGAAAGTATTGAGTACGTACATACTTTATATTTTACTCTGAAGAATCGGCAAGATAAGTAGGACCACAAAATTTCGGATATCTGTCTCGAAAACCACTGTTCAATTTTATGCACAAGTCCTTTGTGCCAAACTTTATCAAAGGCTTTCGATACGTCTAGGCATACTGCAGTGCAAATTTTTTGTTCTTCAAGTGCTCTTTCGATTTTGTCGCATATTCTGTGTATTTGTTCTACAGTAGAATGTTTTTTTCGGAACCCAAACTAATGAATCGAAACTATTTGATTTTTTGTTAGAACAATCTGTATTCTATTAAGGAGAATTCGTTCAAAGTTTTTTGTTAAAACGGGTAATAAAGAAATTGGACGATACGACGAAACTTCATTAGCAGGTTTTCCTTGTTTGTGGACCATAAGTACTTTCACTACTTTCCAATAAATTGGGAAGTGTCTTAAGCGCAGAGCTGCATTAATTATTATTATTATTCCTTTGTTATGAAATTGGTTTAAGATCTCAGCGGTTATCTGATCCCAACCAGGAGCCTTTTTTAGTTTAATATTTCTTATTTCATTTTTTATTTCTCTTAGCGAAGTTGGTTGTATTGTTTCGTTTAATGCATTTAAGTTAGACGTAGGAAGATTATTTCTATAATCATTTAGTGAGAATGTTGCCTTAAGAAATTTTGCGAATAAATCTGGTTTTTCTTCGTCACTTTTGGCCCATGTTGTACTATCTGCTTTAATAGAAGGATTATGGATTCCAGCGAATAATATGTGCGTTTCTCATAGGAAAGGCTTCTAAGATTCTGTTGTATCTTATCGTTTTTAACATTATTGATAAGTTTTCGTAGTTGTGCAGTTTTCCTATTTAATTCCGTTTTGTCAGTTGATGATCGTGTTTGTTGCCATTTTTTGCGCAATTTCCTTTTTTCAAATATTAGTTTATCAATTTCTTTTGGAAGGGTTGGTCTAATCTGGTGTTTAGAGAACTGAGGAGTACTCATCCATGCTGATTTCTGAATCTGCTGTGTAAATAAAAGAACTTCGTTATCCACTTCAGTCGCTGAGTTTAGATCAGAGTTAAGATTGAGAGTGTTTTTAAGGTGCAGCCTAAAGTAATTCCAGTCAGTAGATCTATTTATTAGGTAAGGCTTCGGGTTAGTTATGCATACACTCTTATTAGTAGAGAGGTGCCCAGGTAAATAATCAGAAGAGAGATCGTATCCATTTTCTATTTGTAAGAGTTCTTTCGGTATCTTTTTAGTTATGAAAAAGTCAATCAGATCCGGTATTTTCGCTGGGTCAGTCGGTCAATATGCTGGGCTTCCAGTTGATAAGACATCGCATCCTGTGGCTTGTATGGCTTTTAATAGTTCTCGGCTTTTAGTTGTAGTTAATCGACATTAACATGTTTAGCGTTGATATCTCCGCTCATAGTGAATTTATTTTTAAATTTAGTCTTGGAGGACGGTAGACCGAAATAATTGAAAATTTTTGATTTTGTACATCTATTGTAATAGTTGTGGCTTGAAATTCGCTACAGCTGATCTTTTCCTGTTCATAGTGACTGATGATTTCCTTTATTATAACATCACTTCCCCCTCGTGCATTGTTATTCGGGTTTGTAGTGTGGTAAGTTTCATAACCACTAAATTTAATATGTGATTAATTCGTAAAGTGCGTTTCTGCTATTAGACATATATCGATGGACTTTTTGTAAAGAATAGTCTGTAGTTAATTTTGTTAATGTAGCAGCCCATTTGCGTTCCAGAGCATAACTTTTATTGAAGACTGCATTACATACGGTGTTTGGGAAGGATCTGTTCTAGTTTATTTATTCGTTCATCTTAAACTTTATTAAATTTTTTCTGGTTTTGTAGCAGTTGAAGTACCAACTGCAAGGTTGAAGAAATCTCTCCAGGGTTTTGAGAGTTATTATTCGATTTTAGCGCTTGAGCATATAAAGGTTTTTCTTAATTTTGTGTTAATTTAGAAACTGGCAAATTTTTTATATATTCAGTGACAGCAGAGTTGGGTTTATCTGGCTTACTGCTTTGGTAATCTTTCTGAACGGTTTTTTTTTCGCATCTTTTGTAGCTCTTTGGCTACAATACATCCTCGATAGTTAGCTGGATGAGATTCGCCACAATTGCAGCATTTTGGTAAAGTTTCTGCTGGTTTTGTACAGCTCGTTGTTGAATGCTTTCCCGTACATTTGACACATCTTGCCATTTTTGAACAGAAGTTCTTTGTGTGACCAAAAGTTTGACAATTTTAATTTTTTTTTTTTTTGGTCTTTTTACTTCTTCAATGGAGACAATAGTAGCTAATATTTTATTTATTCCGTAAACCTTTTTAATATCTTCAATAGACTCAAAGGTAAGCAGAAACATATCTAGTGGTTGCTTGGTTACTTTATGACTTTTAGCCCTTGTCTCTGTAAGTCCTCGACAATAAGTTTAGGTTCACAGGAGTGATGCAGGTTTTTAACAATAACACGAATAGGTCTTGTTAGACAGCAGCTTTGTTATGCTTCTGTAGTAATCTCCTTCCCTGGTATTGAGCTTATATTTCCCATTATTTATAAGCTTGAATGAAAAATCAGTTTTCGCAGTGTTTTTAATGTCTTCGTAAATCTTTATGTAATCAGTAACTCCTGATATCATTATTGGAGAGGTAGAATGCACCTTGGAGCCTTTAATATTTAATAGAATTTCCGGTTTCGGATTGACATTTGTATTTTTATCATATGAAACATGAAGCTCTGGAGAAGATTCAGCTTTTCGTTTTTTAGTTGGACGTTTTTGTTTCAATATTCAGTCAGTTTCTAACGCCAATTCCTCTTCATAAGTGTGGTACTGAACACTTATGCTATCTAATTTTGTATCAACAGCATTCTTATCAGTTTCTTTCTTCTGTGATAATGAACTATTCTTTTCTGCCATTAGTTTTTGATTTTCTTTCTTAAGGCTTTCACAACTGATTTCTAAGAGATTTGTTTTTTCTGTTAAAAATTTAATATTACGTTTTAACTCATTTAGCATGTTATCTTGAGTCTGATCCAAAGGCTTTTCATTATAACATGAAGGGGATGAAATATTCCTCATGGCATCTTGCATCCTTTTAGGCTGAGCTATTCGCTGATCATAATTCAAAGCCTAAAATAAAGTTTATGTCGATGACAGATCGACGCACAGTTTTCACGAAGTAAACCAATATTACGAAAATAATTATAAATAATTGAAAAAAATTGAACAAAATATAGGAGTGTCACAATATATTTACAGTTCGTTTATTTAGTTGTTTAAAATTTTTTAGGTTTATAAATAAATAAAAATTTATTTTTATTTAA